AAAATTTAATTTGTCTTGATAAGTATCATTTACAAATTTCTGTGTTTTCTGAATAAAAGTTTGAAACCCTCATCCCCAGTATGAAAAATTCCAGGACTGCCCACAAGAAAATATCTTGGTCAATAAAATATCCAGTCTAATGGAACAACAAGGCATGAGAAGTAAAAAAGATGAATAGGAGGTGACTCAATATGTATCCTAAACTGGATGTCCATCTAACAATTGTTTAAGAAAATATTAATTTAAAATAAAGTAAAGGGGGCAATTGGGATTGAACCAGTGACCTCTCAATCTGCAGTCGAATGCTCTACCACTGAGCTATACCCCCACTCTATAGCACTTTTCATTAACTTTTGCTAGTGATAGCCTCCATGTAGCATCATTCAGACCTTCCTTGCTGCACTTCTTTTGTGAAGAGTCTCGTAACCATTCAAGTATGACCGCAGATCGGTTGTGACAGTTTGTTCACATTTCATTTTTGCAGTTTAGTTGTCTTCTGCTCTTGTGTGGTCGGTTGGGGAACAAGATTATGTTTTTCCAACAAACTGTCTAGTAACATGCCACATTTTTTCTTGAAGTATACCTGTCAATTTACCCAAAACAAAAAAAAGGATTTGTATTTGAAGGGAGTTATTGAAGGAGAATCACACCTGTGGGAATTTTTTTGCTTTTTACCATTTGTCCAATACAGTACACCGAAATTATTGTAATGGCAGGATCTTATGTTACTTCTGAATATAAAAATTTAAAATTTAATTTGTCTTAATAAGTTTCAATTAAAAATTTCTGCGTTTTCTGAATAAAAGTGTGAAACCCTTATCCCCAGTGTGAAAAATTCCAGGACTGCCCACAAGAAAATATCTTAATCAATAAAATGTCCAGTCTAACGGAACAACAAGGCATTAGAAGTAAAAAAGATGAATAGGAGGTGACCCAATATGTATCCCAAACTGGATATCGATCTAACAATTGTTTAAGAAAATGAAATAAAGGGGACAACCGGGACTGAACCGGTGACTTCTCGATTTGCAGTCGAATGCTCTACCACTGAGCTATGCCGCCACTCTAACTCTGAACTCCAAAGATGATTGGGAACTTACGAATGATGCAACATGGAGGCTGCTTCGCTTCTTTCGGGAAGAGACTGGTGACCATTCAAGTATGACCGCGGATCGATTGTGACAGTTTGTTCACATTTCATCATGGCGGTTTTGTCGTATTCTGCTCTTTTCTCGTGTTGTCGGTGGTTTAGCTCTAGGATGTGCCACAATACATCTTTGATTATTCCAGCCGTACAATTTTCTTCCCTCTCGTGCACGACGAGATTAATTAAACCGGTCACCAGATTGTCTTTGCGATGTCCACGTGCATTTTATTACGTGAAGCCAAAAGAAAAAAAGGGTCCAACACTCAAGGGTTGGTTATATTTTGCAGCTGGTGGTGTTGGAGTGATCACAGGAGCTGTGGTTTTCCTAGGTAGGAGTTATTGTGGCTTAAAATTTTAACTTTAAGGCTAATTTTGGTGTTTTTTAAAGTAATGTTTCACCCAGAGGGTCCGTGCTCGCATGGTCTTGGGGATGTTCTCTTTGTAATTCGCACCTCCCCACAGCCCATAAATTCCTAATATCTTATTTTTGATTCTTGCTTAAGCTGCTACACTTTTCTCTGTAGAGCAGTACCAAGAATTTGGTGTTAGATCAAGATAACATCTTTCTGATAAGTTTGAGTATTCTCATTACCTGATTGCTTGAGAACGTATGGATATTTTACGGAGAAGTTACGTGGTAATCACTACTGGGAGTTTAAGTGTTAAAAGAGGCTGAAAATGTGAAGCCCTTTGATTCCATTTACAAAGCTGCTGACTAAAATCAAACCCCTTTGAATTTCATTTTCCAATGGCTGCCATCAAAACATTGAGTGTTCAGATGTCCACCATTTTTAGAGGGTATGGCCTAAAAAATGAACGTTTGATGGAACAATTTTGAGATCTTGCTTAGCCCCACTTCCTATATCCAGTTAAAATTTCCAATAAGTAAAAGGCAAATGATGTTTAACAGACTGACTTGCAACTGACTCCTCCTGGATTTGACTTTTCTTTATTTGCCAATAACCCCAAAGATTTTCTCAAGTTCTTATGACTATGTTTGTTAAACATATATTCATCTGTTGAAGAGGGGTGTTGTGGATGTAAACTGTCTATCCTAAGAATAAAATATACTCAGTAACCCTGGGTAAGATTCAAGTCCAGCTCATTTTGATCGATGGTCTATATGAGCTTATGGCCAATTATGTCCAACTGTATCTAGGGGAGCAGGGTCATGTAAGGTGTGGCTGGAAATTAGAGAGTTAAAGTAACAGCAAANCCCCATTTGCCCATGGGTGTACGCTGCTGACGTGAGCAAATGCAAAGACTATTTTTCCGCGCGCGCTTGTTTTTTCTGGTCGCGTAAGATTTGTTAAATAAAAGGGAACTCTTTAGCTACAATGTATCAATGTTATGTTATAAAACAAATGGTAAACACCACAGCGTACACTATTGAGTTATGGATGCACTTGGGAGGTTTGCTAAGCACTCAAGAAGCTAGAGTCGCTCTCGGCTATCGCCTCGAGCGACTCTTACGCTTCTTTCGTGCTTAGCAACCTCCCGCGTGCATCCATAACTCAATAGTGTACGCTGTGGTGTTTACCATTTGTTAAACACTGTTCTCTTGTGTTTTCCTGCTGCTATATTTCTTTATGAAAACCCTTCCCACCTCACTTCTAGTAATCCTTAGATCTCATCAGTACTCCTCTTCACTGTCTGCCGTGCAATTCTCGTGATTTTAGTTCAACTAACTAGATCAATCAACTAATGATCTCCAAATTGATATTTTTTTTATTCTCATCACTTATGCAAGGCTGTGGTCTAGCAGCGCCCGGTGGTCCCTGGTGCCTTACTTTTGCTCTTGGGCAACTCAGGAATCTTAGTTTTTTCATAAAAAGCATATGCTGGGCACCCTGGATTTCCCAGTTACAGAGCACTGGGCTCCCGTCAATTTTTCCTAGAGTACAGCCTTGCTCATGTGCTTGTCATTGTTGGGGGAAATTCTGTCTAGATCACTCATGGGAGTTATTTTATAAGGTTGATAATAATGAGAGAAAGTAACTATAAATTTCAGTGATATCTGCTTCTATATTTCTTAGGTCTACCTGATCCAGAAAATGTGAGTAAAGTGACAAAGTTTATTGTTGAAGTGTTCTTATCTACCTGTATTTAATGAAAGCTTCTATTGAGTCAGTAAGAATTTATATTCAGGTTATTTTCAGTTTTATGAAATCTTTATAAGTGTATATAAAATGCAATACAAAAGGATCTACAAAGAAATAGATTTTTCTCTGTATACTGGTGCTGCAGTTGGCAAAATTCAAGAAGGTTAGGCACTTCTGTTTAGTGCATCGAAGTCCACTGTGCCATCCAATGTGTTTCTACTACAAAGACACTCAACTTTTGAAAAAAGCTGACTTTGCCGAGATCTCTGACCACTCATAGCTCAGAGCTTTAGCAGTGCATTAGATAGCCTTAAATCTTTCTTATTTATTAATTGATAAATGTAATGTGTGAACACAAAATGGAGTGAAATAATGAAAAACAGAAGTATTTATCAATCAAAAGTAATTTGCATATCAGGGGTTAAAGAGAAAGAAAATTGATATACCCTTTTAGTCAAAGTTACTCTGGCATTTCTTATCAGAGAGCATTGTAAGGTTCAAGAGCCTTTGCAAACAAAGAGGTTATTTTTTCAGATTGGAGCAAAATATCTAACAAAGGTTAATGTTAACAAATATTGCCATGAGTTGGTCAACAATGAGTCTGATTCCTCTTTAAAAATGAGATTTAGGGTTAAAGATGTTAAAACCTGACCCAAAGTTATTTTGTCTTTTCAGCCCGAAGATGGATACAAAAATGGTTAGTTCTGGAAATGCATTTTGAATTTAATTTTGGATTATTTTGAGTCAGTTTTGCTCTTGTTGAGGAAAGTCTCAGCTGTTGATCATTTTTGTTACAGAGTTAATGCCAATGCAGTTTATTTATAGAACAAGGGACAAGATCTGGGATTTTTATGAGGTAAGAATATTAAACACCCATTGGCAAAACAAAGTGTTGACTCGAAAAGTTACTTGGAAATTTGGATATCTTATCTCTCAGTAATTTGATTTGGCCCCCAATGCTACCCTCAGGAGGTCATTGAGGGAAAACTTTTACTGCTGGAGAAAATGAACACCTCAAGCTATTCAAGGAATTCCTAACAAAAATTCAGGCTACAGTTTTGAAAGTAGCTCCTGTGGTAACTGTCACTTTTACCCCTAAGACCTGACTGTCATGTTGTAGGGTTTTCATTTAGAAATGAAGAAGCAGTAAAAGTAACAGGAGATTATCATATATACTTAAATAAACACCAGGATACTTGTTCAATTTTTTCGTCTCAAGTGCAGCACTTATTTAGGTGTGGTGCTTATTTGGAGGTGGTGCTTTTTTAAAAATTGGATGCAGTGAAGAAATAATCTCCTTAATGCATTTTTTTCTCTTCTTGCCCTAACATCAGTAT